TAGATAAAATTTTTGTCTCTATAGAAACATGCAGTCTCCTTGAACTTGTTGCTGGTCACTTAGCTTCAACCTTGACCCTTCTGATGAAGGTATGCATGAAAACTTAATTCTTCATTACTTTTGCGTCTCATAGGCATGTAATAACAAATATTGCAAAGTGGAAGAATTTTTACCCTCAAGTTTTTAAATGAAAGTCAGTTATTAATTCAAAACAGGGCACCTTGAGTGCACCTTTAATTCTCTGCTGTCTTTGTAGTAGCAAGGCATGGTGGCACACTGCAACACAAAATGATAATCTAGATGTTAACAAATTGACATTAAAGAATGATGATCATTTTCAAAGTGCAAGCAATCCTTGACATGCTATCAGACACAATAGAAGACAGGATATTTTATTCATTTAAGGGCTTCGTTATCAATCCCTCTTCAAAGCACTCAGAACTCATGCACCTCAAGTGTGTAACAACTGACCACTGTGATAATTAGCATAAGCAGTTAAAACCAAAGGGGTATAGGTAAGAGTGCACACGTATGTGCTTCTGATTAAGTATGAAAAGGTGGCTGTGTTCAGAAAACCATTATACTGGTTTTCAATTAGATGCACCACTCTGTTTTTGGTCTGTCAACCTCTTCTTTAGAAAACCTGAAGAAAAATGATTAAAAGGAAACATTATGCCAGTGTATCGAAACCTGTACAATAGGCCACCTCATTAAACAACTTTCAGCCTCAGAGAGGCCAGGATAACCACAGGTGCAGCAAGTACAACACTTCAGTTTCATTAGAAAAGTAACTTCATGCAAAGCAATACATCTTGGTCATCTCTTTGACTACCATCTTCTTGATAAATTATAATTCCTGAATTATAAAGATGCACACTTCCAGCCACTCGAAATTTCTGGTTTCCACCAAGTTGGTAGTTCAGATATCTATATCTTCATGCCAAAAGAGCAGTGTGAACTCTGTATTGTTATAGGCAGCCTAGCCCTAATATATATATATATATATATATATATATATATATATATATATATATTTATTTATTATTATTATTATTATCTTTTTTTTTTTTTTTTACCTTAGCCTTGTTTTTAGGGATATTGTAGATAAGAAATTTTGCGTACAATCAGTCATAAAATTCAGAAATAATATAAGCAAATTTGTTCCATAATAGATGGAAAAAGATGAGCTTCTGACATAGGAAATGAAAGTAGCTATCTGATTTTTGGGGCCCAAGTCACCAATGAATTGCCCATATATTATTTGATTTCTGGTACAGGAGCTGCTATGGATGGAAGTGAATGTTGTACTTTAGTAACTACTAACCCAAGTGGTTTCAGTATTATTTTTTCCTCCTTTTGAAGACTAGATTTGTTAACCAATCAGCTATTGATATGATCTTTAAAACCAAAGGTTTTTCAAACAAAACTGGAAAGGTAAGAACAATGAATGTGACAACTCCCTAAATGCAAACACTAGTTTCTTCCAAAACCAAAAGCTGCAGGAGCTAGAGCTAAACTGCAACAAGAAAATAAATGACAAAAGTCATACCCTGAATATTCCCAGTAGGCCATTTGTTCAGATGAGTGGTTGCTACAGCACAAACTCACCTTATATGAATTCAGCCCTAAAAACCCAAATTGGCTTATTTGCTATTTTTTTATTATTATTATTTTGTTGTTGTTTGTGTTTGTTTGTTTGTTTTAAGTAGATAAATATCAGTAACACCACTGGAGACAGACCATTTCCAATCATACAACAATAGTAACCAATCTTTGAGAACTTTGCTTCTGGGTACAAACCAACCCTGGCAGAATTCATCTTCCAAAATTCACTCATGTCTTATTCTTTGAATACAACAGTAAAAAAAAAAACCTGATCCATCAGAACTGATTTCCTGCTGTGGTAGCAATACAGCTAATGCTGATGGTACAGTTATGGCAAGAAACAGTATGAGAGAGAAGCACTCTCAGTTGAGTTCCTCTGGGAGAACTACTCCCTTCCAGATACAGTTCTCCATTTGCAATGGATAATCATACTGCACTCATTAAGCTTGGACTGAGTTTAATGTTTAAGGAGGAAACTTGTAACAAGCAAGTGGTGCTATGTGGGAGAGAAATGTCTACAGACCTTCAAATTAAATCTGGTTAAAAGAGACAAAAAAAATAAATGTATTAAATGTCAGTAGGCACCACAATACTTCACACTCATGTCTTGTACTAAGTCTCCATTCCTAGTGTTGTGCTGTCTCCTATTCTTTCCTAGAACAAGTGATTTTTCAGAATAGGATCAAAGTGAGAGGGTATTGAGGTGGTAAACTGAATTTTGATGTCTGAAGCAGACAAAATGGCTCTGAGTAAGCCATTGAGGTACACTGGCCAAAGTAAAAACAGCCCTGCTACTACACTAAGTTACATCAGAGATCCCACTACCCCTTGGCTGTTTTCCAGCACTGGCAGAAGATAAGATATAAAGCTCCTTCTCTGATTAGTTCTCTTTCATGTATGAGGAATTAGCTTAGTATATTAACATTTAATTAAGTTAAAAATCAAAAGCTTAATGAAATGACTACACAGCATCACTATCTTTATGGACCTAATTGAATCACAAAGTGAATCATTTTCTCTTGCAGCAAGAATACCTATTAAAAAGGGCAAGTATTTTCAACTTCATGGTGAAACGTAATCATCTGCCCTCTCTATACCACCCACCCATGGTTAGAGGGGAACAGAGGCTGGATTTAAGTGGTAGTGATGGCTTCACATTGGAGCTGGTTGAGAAGCACTGCATTATATCAGACTTCAACACTCATGGATGCAGCTGCCCAAATTTCCTTTATCTGTGCCATTTGTGAAATTATGGAGCATTATTTCCAAATGGTTGGGCCATAGCACACAACAACTAATGCAACGAGTACAGGGATAGCAACTGTTATTACTGAAAATTAGGTGACTCCAGTCTCCTTTGTTGTACAGTGCAACTTCTGATTTCTCTAAAACCAGATGAAGTCCACAAGAATTCATCAACACTTTGTCTTAATAATGTCCCAGTAAACATCTGGGAAGTCCCCAGATGTTTACACTCTTTGCTTGCTCCATTGAGCCTTGAATCAATACCTGTCAGAGGTACCTTAACTGTGTCAGAGGTACCTTAACTGATGTTAACTCCTGCACCCTGTATAGCACTTACAGAGCAGATGTGTTCAAAGTAAACTAGTAGAACAACCATTGCTATGAAGTGGTAAGAGACCTCAAAAGATTCAATTTCTAGATGTTACAGCTTTTTACCATTCCTGGGGCAAGAATAGTAATAGATAAAACTAAATCTTTCACTTCCCCATCATTTTCTTTCTTGCCAGTGCCTACACACATTTTTTTTTTTATTGTTATTTCTTTTTTTTTAATCTAATCTCCATCATCTTTAACAGCTCTGGCTACCCCTCTGTTAATAATTTATATTGCTTTATCTTAACATCAGGTTCATTCTTTCAGTCCAAATTGAACATTACTGTGACACCTCCTTCCAGCCATGTTGAACACGACCAGATAGCAAATCCTGACACTAACCTATTTGATAAGAGGATCTTTAAAAGACAAGCAGTAAAATTGGATACCACAGGGAACACTTAAGAGATTCCAGTGAACAGCCTTAAGAATCCATAGAAGCATTTTCTTCTTCCCTTTCAAATTTCTAGGCAGGGGCAGACAAATCAGCCAGCAAACCTTCATGCAGGTACCGTTTGCAGAAAGTTTTGTTTGCATATTATAACAATTTTGTGAAATATAAACATACAGAATTTTCAAAAGGCTGTCTTCAGGCGTTTATGCCAACAAAACTCAATCGTGGAAAATTTAACACAAATATTTGCATGTAACAACTGATATCCATACAATACCTGAACTAAATTGCACTCTCACTTAAGCATGGTCAGGTCAAGCTGGTGCTACTCTGCTGAGGGTGAGAACACAGCTTGGTCTATATTCATTAGTCCAACTTTCATAATGTCAGAGTCAAACTGGCTTTATTTAAATGAGAAACATATGTCCACTCCACAGGCTCCATTTCTACCTAAAAGAACTCTTCATGAATTAGGCAGCTCCTTTCTTTTTACCCACCTACACTTTTTCCTGTTAACTGCTGTGATTATCAAACTTGCCAGACAGATTGCATAATGGATGATACAAGAGTTGCCATGGTAAATATTTCTACTCCTAATAAACACCTAACTATATTCTTTCTAATGTCCCACAGCACAAAGGGAATATAAAAGTATGATTTAAGTCTCTTCTTGCCAAATTTCATGATAAGATTCTCAACTACTGTTTTTTAAGCAGGGCTAAACTGATATACTTCCCATAATGAACTGGCTACACTAAGGCTTAATAAGTTTTGTTGGTGTTTTTTTTTTTGTTGTTGTTTTGTTTTTGTTTGTTTGTTTTTAATGCCATAAAACAAATGCTTTCTTAAGCTGGATGACAGTTTTTCCAGACCAATGTCCTTATGCAAAAATGTTTTTCTGCATGTAATGACATTTACCATCAAACCCTAAATGCATATACAAGTGGAATGTTATTTGTCCCCTCCACTGATGAAGATTCAGTAAGTCACTTCAGCATCAGTGGAGTTGAATTTTCCATCCTGTAACACCAGTTCATTCAAATGTAGTTGTTTTTTCCAACACAACCTCCACATACATATTCTACATTGCATAGTGTGTTTTGTTTTGTTTTTTTCCTCCAAGCTTCTGACTGATTTTCTTTACTACTATTCAATTTCCTTAAACAATAAGAATTTAAACATGTTCTGCACAACCGTGTTTGTGTTGCTAGTATTCCTGTGCCTAAAAGGTTTGTTGTCAAGATGCATGGTGATGCTCACTGTGTACATACCTTATATTAATAACACTAGTAACTGTGAAAATCCATTGTGCTTCCTCTTTCATGCACAATTAAGTTCCATACTACTTCTCATGCCTCTTTGGTGTCATATGAACACAAAGCACTTCTGAAAGAGCAATACATTTTATTTTTATATGAAAGACCTATATTCCTGACCATGATCTCTAGTCAGTTAATCAAACCATCATGATTTCTTTTTCTCTGACAGAATTAGCAAAACATAGATGTACAGGTGTGGTCTAAGCTGTAGGTCTGAGTGGGAAGATAGTAAGTGGAAGATGTCTTACATTAAATGCAAAGAGACAGTCTGTGCTTGATTATATGCATGTATGGGGAAAGTTTGCACTTCAGTCATTAAAAAGCCATTAAAAAAGTATGTTGTATCTCTTCTCTAAGTCATTTATAGACAGGTTTCATAAGGGCCCTCTTTTGCTGTTTTTATATTAGAAGCCTCTGGTCCTGATGGTTGGACATTCTTTACTAAGACTGGCTTATGATTCAGCCAAACATCCTTCAAGCTGCACATCCACAACCATAAAACTTGTCCACACCTATAGGACTACAAACACACCTGTCCAGTTCTATTTACCTCCAGTCCTTGCACTCAGTTATATACTATTCCCACTCTCGTTATTCCATCTTTCCATAACCATTTCTTAGAGGCATGTAGTATTAATCACAAGACCTACTATTACTGCCAATATTGTATACCTCAAAGGATCCTAAAGAGAAAGTGATCCCTCAAAAATGCACATTAGCCAATCTGCCAATACATGTTACTCTATACTTTCTCAGTGTTCACATTACAGGAAATTATTTTGCTGCTTCAGTGGAAGTCTCAGGTTGTGTAGGCCCCCGTTTTGCCATGTTGTGGGAGGAGCAGTTGTATGTTCCAGCACAGTGTGAAGACACAAAACTCCTTGTGATCTGGAAAAAAAAAAATGCAATAGCCTTGACTACTGAAGTGTGTTAAGAGAACTTAAATTCAGGGTTTTGCAGTACTCCGCAGTTTGAGACATCTGGCAGCTCAAACTCTAATTCTCTTTGTTTATTTTTCTATATGAATGAAACTTTTCCCTACAGTTTGAGTCAGTAAATCCAATCCAGACTGCTCCTAGACTATGTGAAAATATGTACAAGAAATGTTATGAAAACCTTTAGCCACAGCAAACCTGAGTTCTGAGGCAACACAAATCCTGACCCAGGCTTCATACCTGGTGTAGGCCTCACCTCAGATACCTTCAATCCAGTTTTATTCAGATTAGCTGATCAAAGCAGAGGGGGAATACTAACAAATTCTGGGCAAAGCACCCAAACACACACCCTTACAATGAGCCCAGATGCACAGCTGGCTAGGCCACGGATCCTGCAGGCTAGGCTGTAGGGCTTACCACACCCTATATTCCACCACCTAGTATGAGAAAGCTAAGGTTTTTCAGGCAAATCTGAGAACTATTGTCACACTCCCCAACCTAATTGGGACCCTGAAGCATAGAAAGTTGAAAATTAGAGCCTTCACTCTTAAGGAATAAAGCAAAAAATGTTTCAGGAATACTTCATTGGAAGGCTGTGAGTTGGCTGGTTTTGTAGTTAAATTGGGACTCTGTATGGCCTCCACCTGATCACTTTAAAACTATTGATCGAAGCATCTATGCCTGGAAAAATCTTTTTTTGTATGACTTCCATTTTTTAACTGCAATTTGAAAGATACTGTAATAGTTATGAATTCCCATCGAGACCCATTATGTTGGCAATCAGATGCCTCAAAAGGGCAAAAATATTCCAGGCAACATTCACTATTCTGCTTTGAAAGAGTTGATGTTGTTATATTTTTCTGTATTATTCAACATATAACAATGAAGCATTTTGAATACTTTGAAAATATTCTTTTACTATAGGTACTTAAAAATTTGAAATAACATAAAATATTTCTGGAAGATTGTTAGAACTTAAACTTATTTTTATCAATATCTTCTAATTAGAAGGAAGCAAAAATGTTTACCAAAAAGCTTCCTGAGCCAAAGTATGTAACATATAGATTTATTTATTTAAGTGAAATGCACTTATCTGAAGCTAGTAACATCTTTGTATGGTAGTTATCTGCAATGATCACTGAGAACCCAGTAGTAGAAAGACATTTCTAGTAACGGAGTGCTGAAGTAGCTATCCAGAGCACCTTCTCTGAAGGCACTGTCTTTCACATCACTACTCAGTCATTACCAAAAAGCATTCCTACAAACAGTATCCCTTGGAAGATTGAAACATAAGAGTTTTCAGGGCCATCTCTTGATCTGGGAAGGCATCACCCTTACAGAAATTTTGGTCTATGCTTCAATACGTGGTCTGTTTTGTCTGTCCTGAAGTAGTTAAAAATGCACACAAGTGATTTCCCGGAGAGAAATTTAGCAGTTAGGAAGTTTAAGGACAGTGCACTTAGGTGTCACAGTAGGAAGATTCTGGGACCAAAAAATTATCCTCCACACTGGTGTTGGAAGTACTTATGTTAAGTTAGCATTATTCATTTAAAAATAGCAGGTACCACAATCAACAGAACTGTATTTAAGGTGGATCTAAATAGGATGCAATGAGTTATAAGACTTGCCTTTATACTTCTTTTTCAACTGGAAAGCTGGAAGAAACTTCTTCAGAAAACTACAGAACAGTGGATATTGAAAGGGACCTCCCGAGTTCATGTCATCTAACTGCCCTACTCAAAGCAGGACCACCTAGAGCTGGTTGCCCAGGACCAAGTCCAAATATTTGCGTGTTCTTATTGTTTGATTAAATTTCACCAACATATTGATTCTTCCTCCTTCAAACAATCATCATTGCATGTTTCCAGCTTTTCTTTAGGGGCCAGAATTTGGGGTAATGGCTTAACACAGAGCCAGTGCAATAAATTGTGCAGACTTGCTGGTGACTGGAGGGCTTTCAAATCTTCTCTACACAGTAAGATTGAAGATCATCCACACTGAAAAGGAGAAGAACTCTAGTTCATACATCCATAAAGCAGCCCTGGGTTTCAGTCTTGTATAAGCCTGGGTGGAGATGGTAGAAGAGTTTGGGTAAAATGCAGGCAAGGGTACTTTAAACCTATAGCAAAGATAAATCCTAAGGACAAACCCAAATAGCTAAGAGGACATTTGCTTCACTACTATTTCTATATGTCAGCTGCAAATAAATTTCTATTAGATTAGAAATATTTCTAACCTAATATTTTTAATTCGGTTAGAAATCAGGAGCGAAGCAAGATGACTTCAAAAAAGCTATAATAATTTACACCTATCAAGATCTTTGCTTTTATGCAGGGTTGGTGTGTTGTTGGGTTCTTTAGGGTTGTGGAAGAGCTGATGAAAGGTGAATGACATGAAAGGTGACCTGCATCTGGGAAAGTAAAGTTTCAGCTTTTGGGGGGAGAAAAGTATTGAAAAGGAAACACAGAAGACCCCTTTGAACTGCAGCAGATAGCAATGAAACCAAAAATCTCAGAACAAGTAAATTAATAAATAAGTCAGATTGCAGATTGTTGCACAGCCACAACAAGCTACAGAGTTTATTGTTTTGTTTCCAGACTCAGGTCTACAGAAAATAAATATATGGGGCTCGGGGCATTTACAGATAATGAACATCCAGACTGAAGAATGTACCCCAAGGTATTTTGGGAATCATCTCACTGACAGAACAGAAATCAGATAAAAAACACAAGAAGAAAATATGATCTGCAGAGACACAGAGAGGCAGAGACTCAAACTGACTGGTAAGTAATGGCATCTTTCCACCCATAGTACAAATAACTACATTTGAAGTTTACTGGGGAATGGAATTCAGCTGATTTAGCCCTGACGTGTTTCTGAAGTTTTGTCTAGTGAATTAACTGGTGAAGTAACACACTTGCAGTCCTGTTAGCCGTCTATAAAAGCAACACTGACTCCTTCCTTCCCCACCATCAACCTCCACCTGACAGCTGGGTAGCTGCTGGGGACCTTTTTGTAAGCATTAAAGCATGCTGATCGTTCAACCAGGTTTTTAATCTTCCCAAGCACATTTCTATCAGGATAACAGGAGGTGTTTCGTTGTTTGTTTTTTAAACAATTCTGCAATTGGCATTTTCATTACTCCAGACATCTAATCTCTGCTGCCTGAAGGCAAATATATCAGTGCAGAGATGGTCACCTGGAGCTACAGCCCACACGTGCAACACTTTGTTCCTGCCATGTGCACTCTGAGGGCTCTGGCTTTGCATTATTTGGTTCCAAGTTGAATAATTTTTCTGATGGTGTTACTATCAGTGCAATTCACACCAGTGACTTTAATACCCAGGTACTGAAGCAAAACCAAGAGAAAACCTTACCTGACCCCAGCATGATATTTTCCTGAGATATAGTTATTCTTGCTAGGTTTTGGCACTGAATAGCCCATTAAATTTGACTGCAGTGTGAAAAAAAATATGTAACGTGCATCTTTCAAGGACTGGAAGGTGTGCCATGTCTCCAAACACAAAACAACCTCCCTCAATCTTAATAACAAATATGCTTAAACATTATCTGCAGTAAATCCAAGAATGAAAAGAAGAGCCTTCATGAATTCACTTCAGATCCAATAAGCTTAAAATCATTCTCCAAGCTGCTAAAAGGCTATACAAGGTTTTTTTACAATTAATTATTTTTTGCCCTTTGTAAGGTGCTACCAAGTTAACTATAATACTTCATTGATACTGTTGCCTTTGCATTGAAATGGGAGTTTAGATCCTCAAATATTGCAAATTGAGTTCTCTGTATTGAATTTAGCACATGGACTCTATCTGCTGAATATTTACACCACATCAGCATGTTCTCTGATGTTAATTTTAGTTTCTGTTTATCAGTTTACAATTATTTAATCAAGAAAGGCTTTTGAAATGCATTGTTGCACTTAGAAAAATACCAGAGATGAAAGAGAGAGGAAAAGCAGCAGATGGGTAACAGTTCCAGCAGGATAGTTCAATTTCCAAACACCAAGCTACCAAAAGCACATCAGCCTCCCCATAGGTTTCTTTTAAAGTTTAGCAACAGCACGTTAAACACACCTCCAGTTTATGAGGGATTTCAGTGCGAACATGTCCCATAGGAACTGCTGCCAAGGTCCCCCCAGCGAACTATCTTGCTGGGGCTCAGCTCTGCAGGAGACAGAGGGGCCCAGAGGCACTTGAGGCTGCTCTGGGTGCTGTGGGGCACAGCAACCTTCCTCCCTCAGGGACTTTTTGGCCAAGCAGCACCCAGACAATGGGTGTTGCTTGTAGTCCTTTGCAGAACAGGAATCCCATCTCAGGTTGAAGACCTTATAAACTGAACAAGGGGACAAGAAATTGGTTTCCTATGTATGCATAGAGTGTTCCCATGATTTAACACACTTTCACGGAGCTGGGAGCATGCACTAAGGCTGGAAATTAAGCTGTTTTTCTTTTCTAGGACTGTTTTCGTGTGCCCATGCAATTGGGTCTGTGAGCATTTCCCCAACCCGGCCTACAACTGACTTAGAAAAGGGTAGCATTACAAGGAAGCAAGACCAGAAGAAAAGTAGTTTCAATCTTATATTCTAGCCAACATTGTGGGAACTTAAACAGTCTCCTCCTTTATTAAGCAGCGATATTGGAATGCTTAATTAATTACTGTTTATATTAGCATATTATGTTTCTTAACAAATGGAATTTAATGCTTACTGTATCCTATAAGACTGCTCAGTCTCAAGCTCATGCAAGGACCTGGAAAGCCCTTGATTTCTTGCCAAGAAAGTAAAAGCTTTTACTTGACTGTCACCTCCTGCAAGCAAGGTGCAACATGCAGCACTGTCAATAGCTATTTATTTAATGGTTATTTAAGATTTTATGTCCTGTTTCTGCACAAGAATTTCAACATCTTCTATGACAAAAATCTTTTTCTAGTGTCTGAAAGGATAAAAGGCTTCAGTATGGTAGCACCTCTCTCTTTCTACTGTATGTGAAAATCTCTTGCAGGGCATAGCACAGCAATAAGCTTTGAATGGAAAGACTTATGTCCCAACCTCTGCCTGCCAACAGCTTCTAGCATAAAGTTAGCTCATTTAGCTAAATTCAGATGACAGCAAAGCAACCAGCTCCTGCTGGATTCAGGAAGCAATTATTTACATATCTGGACTAAATTTTAATTGATTCAACTCTACATTTTTAAAAACAGAGATTGCAATTTCCCTAACTCAAAAGGGTTTTTGCAGGAACTTAAAAATCACAAACTGCAAGACAATCAGACACAGTGAGTCCCATCAACACAATAAGCACCAATTACCTTGCTCATAGGGTGAGAAAGCTCTCAGCCAAATCAGCAGAAGCAGATCAGCTCTGCAGAGGATGACAAGGTGGGAGTTGGAGAAGACAACGAGGCCACATGTTCACCTGCATGGACAGCTCCAGAGCAGGGGCAGCTCAATGGCACCAACAGGTCCAGCAGTGACCCGATGCACACAAAGTGACAAGGAGGTCCAAGAACAACCTGGAACAGCCTCAGAAGCAGGGCACTGCGGCAGATAGGGATAAGCAAGGATCTACCCACAACACATGAAAAGCCCTGGCAAGGTGCTTTGGCTGCCCTAAATGTGGCTGCAGGGCCAGTGGGCGGGGGTGCATCCCAGGTGGTCTCCTGAGGCTCCCAGGTGCGGGCATTGAAGGCCCCAGCAGATAAATAAAAATAAAAATAAATTATAAAATTTGAAAGAAAACTCTTTGATTTTTACAGATGAAGCAGAACATTTCAAAAACCTTAATTTTAAACTTCATAGTTCTCTTAAAACACATACATAGTTTCTACAAAATATCCTGACAGCAGTCACTTTACAAAAAAAAAACAGCTAGAAAAAGAAAACAGCTGCTCTATTAATCCATACTAGGCTTCGTTCCTTAGTCAAACCTGTCTGGCAGTGCTTAGAGATGCCATAAATAGTGAGCATTTCTTAGGACACCCAGGACAGTTTTGGTTTTGGCAGTTCTCCAGAAATCAGTTCTTCTCCACAATGTATTTTGCTAATACCACTTTTTTTTTCTTCTTTCTCTCTCTCTCTCTTTTTTTTTTTTTTTTTTTCATTAGCATTGGACAGGAGCAACTGAGTTGATCAGCAGTTTCAAAATGTCACAGGGAAAAGTTAGGATGGGCTCATTTGAAACAAATCATGAGATCTCAGGACACTTCACCAAAAGAAGAGTGTACGTTAGGAGTAAGAGCAACCAATTCCACCCAGACCACTCCCCTACAGAAATCAATGGGTTACAGTGAAACCAAAGTTTGCAAATTCCAGGGAAGAAACAGCAAAATCATGCTTCATGCTTGTGGGAATGACAAAGATCACATTAATGAATGGGGCTCCTATTTGGCTCTGCTCTTGCTGCAGTCCTCTGGGTCATATGCGGTTCTCAGAGCATAATGGCAGAGTCAGCGCCTTCCTCCTTGCTCAGAGATGATACAGTAAATCTAACCATCTGCTGCCTTTTGTTAGAGCTGGGAGGAAAGGGAACGGCAACAGGAAGAATATCTGGGCAATCCATTGTGCATCTTAAATATTATACTGATAAATGCAGGCATGTGTTAGGAAAAAAAAAATGTCCTTCTGATTGATGGTGATGATATTGTTCACCAAACTCCAGAAAACTTTGCAGTGCTATCTGAATGTTATCACAACAAACCTAATGGAAAATTCAAAGAGTGAGATGGGGAGAAGTATCCCAATGTAAGTACTGACTAGACCAGACAACTGATATTCATACAAAATTCAGAGTGCCTCTGGAGCATCCTCCATCACTCATGCTCAAAGTTTCTGAATTTTTTTTTTTCTTGTGAGATAGAAGCAAAGCAAGCTCAAAATGAAAAATAAAAGTAAGGCAGGTAATTAAAATATCTTGCACTCAACCTGGAGGAAAATCCACTATTATATACACATTTATAGTAGCAACAGAGGCAAAACAAGAAGGGGAAATCCCAGGAAATCTTCCCTCAACGTGAAAGTAAAAATGCTTTCTTGCCAACCATCTCTTTATTTGAACTTGCACGCCACTGTGGACAGCTGCCAGGCAGGAGAGCTGACTTCTCTTTATCTGAGGCGAGGAACACCACAGTACAGGTCCCTCATATGTGCTGGTACTTCTCGTGTGAACCATGGGGTGAGCTCTAGTGTTGTGGCAGAGAGGGCACAGCCTTCCTGGGGAGGCAGAGAGAAAGGGAAAGGGACGTTATCTCCTTATGATAGTCCTCTGCAGCTCAGGCACAGATCAAGACATCTGAGCATGCATTTCTCACAGCTTCTGTGCCTTCTCCTGTACTGCCTTTGCATTGCTTTTCTTCCTGGGAAAGCTAACTCTGCAGCCCTGGAAGCTGAGGGTGTTCATCACCTCAAAGATATAGAGGTATGCACGACCTTGTGCTCATTTCAGGTTTTTAGGTACTGCACACCTACACTACAGGCTTTTCTTTCCCAGTTTAGTCAGTAAGGACAAGAAGTATTGTGATTTTCAATATGCATTTTAATATATATTTTAAGCATACATCAAATAAAATGGGAATTCAGATTTGAAAGTACTCATTTTGCAACCAATATGCATAAATATTGGGATGAACGTAATTTGAAAGGTGTCAGTATCACATACCAACACACTACATCATGACTCCCCATGTGAAGTCACAATAATAATGCACATAATGCACAATCCTCTGATGTACAGGATACATATATATTTGCCATGCTTTGGCCATTTGCCTGTAATCAGCTATCCTGCCAGCCTCAGCAGTACCACTAGCAAGAACAGTTCTTTGTATGAGCTTCCTATTTTACATTTTAAAATTCAGTTTCACAGTTTTAAACAGTTGTCTCACATTAGTAAGAAATCATCAGCTTTTATTTTTCTGTTCCGGTATAGGATTTTTTTATTTTATTTTTCATTTCCTGTTTACAGTTAAAACCTTAACATCTATTTAAACACAGATACTTCCTGCCACCACAAATAATTGAAGTAGCTGATGATTTTAGGTACTCAGCAATTTACTGATTCGGAGAGCACAGTATCTCAGCATACCTTCTGCTTGGATCTCACGGTTTCACTGCAGAGCAAAGAGAGTTAGGAGTATTTGATCTAGCAAGCACATGTTTTATTAAATTATTGGCATTCTGCAGATTTCCATGGGGTAGTGATGACTTACATTGCTTATCATTTCCTTTGGCTAAATTGCCTCATTCCATGTTTGACCATGTACAAAAATAAAGTGCATATTATGTTTACAGCAGAGACCAGTATCATTTTAATTCACATATATTAAATTTCCTGTGTGATATTTACAAACTCCTATTCCACATTTTTCAGTTAATTGATTAATTCAGTATTAATTTAAGTATTAATATTAACTGGGGAAATTACATTGTTATCACAAGATAAATAATTTTTTTATACTCAATCTCAAATTCTCCATGTTTTGTTTTGTTTCTTTTTGTCTTGGGGTGTTGTTTTTTTTTTCATATTACAAAATAGATATGAAGAATAACTTGTGCCTGGAAGAGGTTTAAATAGGTCTTATACTCCTGATACAGGAAAATGTAGACAACATAAATAGAGCTGGCAGGCACAAAACGTGCATGATCTGGCTTACAGAGATGCCGCTGAGAAGATTCCAGACTGACCAAGGCTTTCTGTGCCCTCTGTGGTCTGTAAAACAACTCCTTGGCCCAGCAAAGAACATTTTACCTTTGTAAAGCTCTTTCTTTCCCTACAGACAGGGAAATGGAGGAAGATGCTCGATTTCACAGAACATTTTCTGTGAAACAGAAACAGCAAAACCTTTTCTGTTCAGCAGCTGAGCACTGGAGATGTCCAGTCCAAGCGCAAGGCACTGGCAGCCCTCTCAGAGATGAGGTCCTCACTCAGATCAGCAGGGGGATTTTCAAAATTTCATATCAAATGCAGAGTTAAGCATGGGCTCCACGTGCTCCAACTACCTGCAGGCAGTTGAGCTGAGAAGAGACTCCAGGCCAGCTTGCAAACTGCTTCTGCTCTGCGGGGCACACACACGACAGGGTTTTAATAGCAGGAGAAATGGCAGCATAACCTGTTGTTCAGGACATCACCATAGGGATGTTTCCATTTACTTCTGCTTTTAGGGAAAACAAACCCACTCCAGTAAGAAAACAGCACCCATGTTTTGCCAGCTTTCAAAAGGCAAGACTCGGCTTTTCTCATTTTATTGCCTTGATGCTCTCAGCTGAACTCAATCTTCATACCTGAGACAAAACCAGCAGCATTGATCTTTTCTAACTATGCAATTAGACATAGATAGGCAGGCTTACAAAGACTGGGTGCCCTCATAAAAGTACATTCATTTCTGTTTTCCCAGGAAATAGCATAGGTGCCTTAACGTGCCCTTTTAGTTGTATGACCCACCAACAGCAGGTGCAGACCCAACACTGCATGCACCCAACAGCTGTGCAGTTTTGCTGGTTCACCATCATGAGCTGCCTGGACAATTTGTTCCACAGTACATTCTCTTTTTCTGAATCTTAGCATGTCCTTTCTGAAGACATCAGGCCTTTCTACATGCTGAAGGACAAACCACGACTCCATGAGAAGGAGTTTGAGAGAAGTGAGGCTTGTGCATGGCATTCACACTTAACAACTAAAAGTCAAGTCAGCTGGTGAACGGGAGTGGCCAGGGTTACAATAATGGGGTCACTCTATTGAATAACCTCCAGCTACTCTGAGTAAAATGTATTTATTATGGATTGTTGGCCTGTGTGTTTTTTAATTGTCTGGAAACAGCGAAGGCATCAAGGTGATTACAGGAACACCCGTGACCTAGGTTCTGGTAGCCCCGTGGCTGTGGCCCTGCACCCATTGCTCACTTAGCACTGCCTGGTTGGCCCAGCCAGGAAATCTGGGACTGATGGAGATGAATTTAAGTGAACTAATTTATTTCTGATGCTGCAAGCCCCTGATTTTTGTACTTTGATAAGTGCTCATAACATAGTCTGATTTGAGGCATATCACCGAAAGTGCCCAGCAGGCAACCTCTGCCCTGTGCCGTCACTGGAAGGAGGATGTGATGCTCCTCCCGATGGCATCTCAGAACATCTCGCGTTCCTTCTCTGAGCCACCCTAGAGATGTCTCTCCCTTTCAGGATGCCAGGGAGATGGCCAAAGAACTGCAGCCAGGTGCTTTAGGTTTGTCTGTAAATGCCTACCACCACAAACTACAGGCTGAAAATGTACCTCTGGTACTGCGCACGCTTTTCCAAAAAAAAAGTTTCCATGAGCAATAGGGCTGTGAAGGAGTGGGAAGTAGGTCTAACGACGGGTGAGGAAAAGAACAAAAGGGGTGGGAAAAGAATAATGGGAGACAGTGAAAATGTGGGTTGAAGAACAAGAAATCTGAATCCAGGTCACAGAGTGTTCTGAAAGATCAGAAAGGCAGCAGAGAGACCTGAGCAAACAGCTGGGGGGAAAACTAAGTGCATCCACCAGCAACCAGTGTTTGGTGGGTAGTTAAGTAAGGCTGTCAGGTGCAATGACAGCTAATTACCGATTATCCCAAATGTTGCTTCACTTAGATACTCCTGCACCCGGTGCTTCATCTCTTTGCAACAGCAGGGAAACAGGCAGGTTGCAAAGGCCTTTTCCCTCCCAGTAACCACTGGCTGAGGACGGATGTGAGATTGTTTCTCCTGCTCTGCTTCCACTGCCAACCCCCAACACACCGATTTTTAACCCTTTTTCAACTCTCAGATGCCTGAGCCATTTCTTAGAGGGGTACCATTGTAAACCCAGAAAGCACATGCTGTCTTTGGTGAGGCCAGGAGTGGCAGCTGAGGACATCCCCGCATGCTGTTACATGAGCTCAAAGTCTCTGCCAGCAGTCAGTTCTTTGGCATTAGCAGTTTCCAGGTTTCACCTCCACTTTCCATCGTGTAAGCCACCTCCTGATCCTCAGAAATCCCCAGAGCCTCTGTGTGAGGGCTGTATCAACATGCTTATGCCTTCATTGCATGCTCCTCCTCATTTTACCATGGAGCATCACTTTCACGAGCAAAGACAGGTTGGTAAGATGTTCCCAGATCACCTGCTGCTGGGGGCAGTTGTGCAGGATGGACTGGAGAAAAGCTGCTGGCCCCATTCTGCAGCACAGCGATGTTCCTGCATCCCTGAGGCTCTCAGAGCAGGCAGCACCTGGCAGGGATGAGGCAGCCTTCCCCGCAGGGAGCACTGGCCCTGCAGCAGCCCCCTCTCTAGGGCTTAATCCTTCTTATACAGAGCTATCCTGGTGTGTAAATCCCACCTGAAATCAACTGCATAACGTTTACTCAGTGCTGATTCTATTTATTAAAAATAATGAACCAAAATTTAAAAGAGAGGAAAAAAAAAAAACCACACACAACAGATGTCTGCACTGCTCATTCTGGAAAGAAAATACCATAGATCCCTATCTCCCCAGATCAGGTGGGAATGATTATAGACTCTCATCAGGAACGGCACACATACTAATAGATCCAGAGGTGTTTTATACACAACCCTGCTCTGGCTGACAGCTCAGAATTTCCTTAGGGTGCTTCCCCGATGGAATGAATTCCATCTTCGATCTGTACTGCAAGGGGAGGAAACAGATATTTAAGTTATCAGTGTGTTTCTCTGGCTTTTTCTGCTTGATACTAGTAAAATAATGTGGGGAACTCAATGTTTCTGTGGCTTTCAGTGCGCATGCTAAGGCTCATTCTCCACAACGCAGACCCTGCCAGCGCAACCTGCATTACGCTGCACTGTTTTATCATAGGGCCTGAGTGGTCCTGAGCATGCCTGACACAGAAGGTGCTTATTTATGATGGGCTTGTGCAAAGGCACGACCAAGCAAGTGCACTGGAGAAGCCTCTGGCAGCAATTCCAGCCACCAGGAGGTTGCACTGCATTTTAAATTATTCGTCTGCATAATGTATGTGTGTTGGGAAGCGGGGATGAAACACACCCATTAAATCGCAGTCTTTCAAAATATGATGTCACAACAAGTCGCATCCTATTAGAGGGATCAGAAGATAAATGTTTGCTGCAAGCTGGTGAAAAAAAGCCAGCAAGAAAATAAAGCTTTCCACACTGTGTGTAAATTGTAAAAGATGAGTTCTTGTGTTGTCGAGCTTCTGCCAAAGACAAATTCTTTGCTAACTAAGTGAAATACAGCACAAGACAAATATCACAAAAATAGAGATAGCAACTAGGCTTCCCAGCAGAGAATGTCAAAGCTATTTCCAAATGCAATTGTGTTGTGGTTTGGTTTGATGCCATTCAGGGCTTTGCTTTCACCCAAGCTCACTCATCCAAACCTGGGGCAAAAAGTTCATATCTCAGGCTGTGGCATATCAGCCATTACAGAGATAAGGAACTGCTGTTTGAGAAAGGTGGAATTGGAGGGCTGAGATAAAATTAACGAAGCCTCCTGTTTACACTAGCAGGCGTTACTCAGGCAGTGCCAGGCTGAGGAAGGACAGCTCCCAGGTCTCCCCCAGGCAATTCTCGAGATGCCAGGAACCAGCGGGCACGTTGCCCAAGCAGGGCCCCTGCCACCAGTGTTGGGAAGTGGATTCCTGCTGATATCATCTACGTTTGCACATTGCCGTGTAAGAGATGCAGCTGGTGAAACCCATGTGCTGTGACAGAGTTCCCTTTTTCTTCTTAAATACTAGACGGAAAAGATGCATTGCAGGAATTCCACATTTCAGTCATGTTTTCAATGTGTCCTGCTTTCCACAGATTTCTATTGCTCAAAGAGTGGCAGCTGTAATTCCATCCGCCTGGCAGCCATTGACAGAGACAATAAGAGCACTCTGGGCTCAAAAAATGGTTATTTAATAAAAGCAATAGGAAAGCTCCCTTTGTTGTGGTAGCCCGAAGCCAGATGGGTTCCAGCATCGTATCTCTCTTCATTCCTTAACTTAACTCATCCATGGGAGAGGGGGTCAGCACGGCTAAACACACAGCCTTACACGCCACAAAGCCAGCAGGGACCCATTTCCCAGGGATGTGTCCCGGGGGTAATTACTGTCTGCAAGCTCTGCAGCACCTACCTCTGCCTACCTGCAGCTCTTAGACACCCAGTAAAGGGTGAATTTGTATTTCAGCCTTTGACTCTGTAGAAATCCTTTGCTTTTCATGAAGTCTGCAGGAAGTTAATGATCTCTGAAACCATAACCACAGTGTAAACTCAAATGCAGATTACAGCAAGCATGTTTGAACAGTGAGGTGCTCTGTTCTTACAAATCTTTTCTTTTTTTTTTTTATTGTTCTTTCTCTCTTTCTCTCTCTCTCTCTTTCTGTTTCTTTTGTCGTTCTTATTTACTAGAGTCCTAAGATCTTCTAAAAGTATCTTTTTGCAAGTTGGGAGTCACTCAGATGTGTCCTTAGAAGTGGCTCCTAGAGCTTTTGCTGCATAGTCGAACATGTGAGTTTGCTGGAGGCATATATTAATGGCTTTAAAATGGACTTTCAGCAAACGGTGCCTTGGGAGCACCCCTTTAGCCTGTACTTCAGAAACATTTTGAAATTAAATACAGTGAAACAGACAGGTAGAAAAATAGACCATATTAATACTAATAAAAACCCTAATAGACAACAGACTGCAAGGCCATTAACATTCTGGTCATGGCTGGGAGAACAGACTGCAAACTTTGGAGGCAACTACAGAGGAAAATCAACTAATCGTAATTTTGAAGAGAAACTGATGTGAGTGTGAGAACATCAGCTGGTTCTGCCTTGGTTGTTAACAGACTCTGTTGCGATCCCCTGCACAGCAGAAATATACCATAATGAAAGACGAAGCATGTAAATCAGCAATCAACTCTTGCTTCTTCTTGACACATCAGTAACAGCTAAATGAAATAAAGATTTGGGATGGTCCCCTGGGCTAGTCCTGCACCACTTAAGTTGAACCCTAATCTGCCATATTTATAATGTAAGCAACTTCAATGGATTGGGTTCTTCAAAATTCAGTGTAATTTTGTAAAGCAAAGTACTTGGGAAGCCAGCACATTCCAAAGGGCTGTTAAAGCCACTGACAGTGACAAAAGCGTTTGATTCCATGGAAGTTTGAATCTCTGGATCGGTATCAGTACATCACAAATACATTTTTCTTCATACTGATGGTGTGCACAAACACACTGCTTTGCAATCTAAAATCTTTTTAAATACAGTATATCTATCTCTGTGTGTTGTATGAAATGCTTGTGGAATGGGGAAAAAATTGAAGGAATTATGAAAATTCCAGTATTTTAGATGGAAGTTACATTCTAACACATTTGGGTATTTTTTACACCATTGTACACTTCAGATGAGCCCATAGGTGTTCATTACGTAGCTAGCTCATGTACCATCAAAGGACAGCTTAAAAGCACATTTCAGCAGGACCTTGCCAGTTGCCAGTAAGCGATAAAGAAAATAAAATCTATCTAGACCTTCCAATTCTTAAATATAACAGTTTGTGAAAAATGACAGCACATGGTGGGAAAACAAGTGATACTGCAATATTTCAGCCAGAAAACTCCACTATCATTTGGGCAAGGAAA